ACGTAAAGATAAGTGAAATTATTAACTTAAATACTAGGTAACAAAGAAGTGTTGAGAGTGAATTAGAGTGTGTAAACAAAGATAGCGAGACACTGATGAGAGAGGCGGAGGCTCGCGGGAAGTGAAGAGAGTAGTTTAAGGTACTGATTGCCAGTAGTAAAAATAAAGTATGCGGTTATTGGCATAATTGAACAAAGGTTAGGAGAGTGCAATGGCTGTAATGGAGTGCCAGAGACTGCCAAGACAATTAAAGAACAGCAGGTCTCTATTTGCAAGATGAATACGGATGGTTGTTCATGGGAACATTAGTAACACAAAACATTGCACATTAAATTATATATGTGAATGAGCATGAACTTAAATATGATGGTATTCACACAAATATTAACTTCCTTTTGGTTATTCCCTAATGCACATAATCTTCCTCCTGCTTAAATGTCTTACACATTAGTTCACACAAAGTTTCCATTCATTATCTATCAAAAGACTAACATTAAACATTGAAGGTTATTATGATATTAACCTGCGTCCATCTTGGTCTTGTGGCATCACAGGAGTTTGCCTGAAAACATGTCACACATTATCATTAAAATTTACCTAAATGTTATTGTTCAGTTATTGTTCAGTTCCACAGGTATTACGGTTCAGTAAGTGGTGTTCCACGGGTATTACGGTTCAGTAAGTGGTGTTCCACAGGTATTATGGTTTAGTAAGTGGCGTTCCACAGGTATTATTGTTCAGTAAGTGGCGTTACTCAGGTATTATGGTTCAGTAAGTGGCGTTCCTCAGATATTATTGTTCATTAAGTGGCGTTACTCAGGTACTATGGTTCAGTAAGTGGCGTTCTCCAGGTATTATTGTTCAGTAACTGGCATTCCTCAGATATTATTGTTCATTAAGTGGCGTTACTCAGATATTATGGTCCAGTAAGTGGCGTTTCCGATGTACTATGGATCAGCAGGTGGCGTTCCGTCTTGTACCAGCCAGTGCGAACATTCATCAAGCTTTTACGCTTCTACTTCTGAACCTGTTTAACTGCCCTCAGTCTTTGGACATGTCTTTGGCTATTAAACCTCTATGTGTTTGTTTACATACAATAAACAGTTTACAAGCATCGAAACTTTCCAATCTAATGTTATAAAGGGCCTCCTTGTGCTTCGGAGCTCTTTGTGGCTGTGTTTACGAACGTAAAGATTCATAATTTGTTTCGTAAAAGCTTGCTAAGTCCGGGCCCAGGTGTCCCGCTGTAACAAGCGTTCAATCTGAAGTGTTGTTGCCAAACTGTGAACGTTCCAACTTACACCTTGTAAACTAAGCTGTCCGGGCCCATGCTCTTAACAACATAATTATTGAAGAAAGTGCAGAAGACCTGTACGTAGCAGCTCCTATTGGGTTACATGAGGCAGCTCCTGTCGGAAAATACCGACACCATTTACTAACTTTCTATACAGTATGAAGATAATTTTGCTGCTGATTTTGTACTAATAATTTAACTAAAAAGTGTTTTATTTATTAATTCAAAGAAAATTTGAATTGCTCAATTTTCCCCGGAAAAATGAGGATATAATTGCCACGTCACTAGAATATACACCATTAAATATTAATCAATCATTTAAAACAGCATTCTAGGGATTAAAATTGTTAAAACAGTGTTCTCTATGACTGGCTCTAATACAAATAACAATATAACTAAGGTCTTCCTCCCTTTGTCCAAAACAGGGCAGAATTAGAACCAATTTATCAAAGCGTCACTTGATGCGTACACACTTCCCGTGAGGACACGCATCCCGTAAGGACACTTCCTGTGAGGACACACTACCACAGTACTATCAATTGTTATGACCCCAGGTAGCCTGAAAAACGAGTCTACCCTTGTGAGAGTTATTCAACAAACTTGCCCCAATTGAAAGGTCAAAGGAAACATTGACATGTGAATATATATTGAATACTTGGCAAAGGTTAATGAAGAGTTTAAAAGCATGGGCAGAGGATAAATTACTAGATAAGTGACAACATGAAATGTCGAGATTTTGTTGACAATGTATGAGGCTCGCTGCAGCTGCCTTGACCTCACTCCAGCAGCAGATGTCGTGGAAGGAGTTTGTACTGTGTTTGTGCTCCTGGCAGTAAAAGAAAAACCTCTAGTTCCATTATCAGTCAAGAGGAGAGAGCCAGTCAGGCGTTATGTATGAAGCCTGAGGGGGACTTAATGCTAGAGTCAGGAATAGGAGGAGCCTGGTGAAACGGCTTTATAGCGATTTTGTGAGCGACGGAGATCGCCAATGTCGACAACTAGGGCCTGAGCGCGCCCTGCACCAGATAAATTCTGTGGTAAGTCTATTTAACCAGTTGTTAGTGATTGCCTGTGATTGATAGTGTGCCCAGCGATCATGGCAAGTGTTTATGGTTACATTAGATACGTTTTATTAAGGCAGGAAGCTTAAATAAGAGAGTAAGGATGAGGCAACCAGCTGGAGGAGGCAGCCGCCTCCATCCTCACCAAGCGTCAGTGGGCGACTGAGTGAGGCGGCGGCGACTGCCAGGGAAGGCGAGCATGGAATCACCCGAACGGGGGAGTACCCCTCGCGACGTGTGAGAGTTTAAAGAGATGCCGATTGAAGGAGACTTATTTTGTGTGAATACATTTAGTTATGTTTTAGTAGGGAAACATTTTTATTGGCATGTCAATGGAAATTGCAGGTCTGTTTGGAGATGTTGATGGAACGTCGAGGCCAGAGAAGAAGTTATGTGGATGGAACTTCAAGGCTGTAGAGGTAAATGCTAAACTCTGTGGAAGAGCAGAGGCCTATAGTGAAGGGTACTAGAAACAATACTGCCTTCACAGCCAGTAGTACTAGGGACAATGCTGCCTTCTCAGTCAGTAGTACTAGGGACAATGCTGCTTTCACAGCCAGTAGTGAAGGCAGCAATACGTAATATGCTCCACAAAGGGAGGGGACATTACATCGGGTAGGCAGGTGTGTACCCCTGTAAGTACATTCTGTGTACATTTCTTAATGTGGCTGGAATTCTTACTATGACTTTGAGAAAGAAGGTCAAAGGGTGAAGGCTAGTTTTATTTTTTTTGTTAGTAATTTAGTTCCAACAATATTGTCACCTATAACCAATTTATTGTTGAGTGGGAGTCTTGAGATTTGTGTACGAAATGGCACAAAGGTACCAGCTCTAATCCCAGGAGCACATGTGATGTCTGCCACTCTATGAACTCTACTGCCTGACCTGTAGTGGAACTGATGGCTAAGTGCCATGGCTCTGTGGAGTTGGCCGAAATGGCAGATGTATAACGAAGTGCTTCATTGACTACATAAACCTGTAAATAGGAGCAATTGTTATACCTCTCTTCCTTGTGGACATCAATACGTACTCAGATGTAATATTTGTTATTACACCCATTATCCTCGAACTCACCATTGTTATTCATAACTCATTGATGTCACGGCTTAAGTGGTGACATCTGAAGACAATTCCTCCATCACTGCAGCGTCTGTTACTGTTCGAAGGAAACTTCAATTTTCAGAGACAAAATAATAATACCTCTTTCTCAACACAACCCCTTCAAGAATTCTCAAGTTTCCCTCCTAAAAGAAGACTCCTTAAACTCAATGGATTTTTAAACAGTCTCTCTTGTTCAGACTCCCCTGATCAGCTCCTCTCCTCCGACTCTTTTAAAACGTTTCTTCTTAATCTGAACTTTTTAAGGAGTGGCTGCAAGAGACCAGCTAACTTGGAAGGACGCGGCGAGAACAAAAGCCTTCACTTAAACACTCCTTAAACAAGCATGATGACGATAGTGATGATGGTTAACCAGATGATGGTGATGATGGTTAACCCGATGATGGTGATGAAGAACGTGATGATGACAATGATTATGAAGAAAATATTACAGACAATAATTGATGATAATGATGATTAATTATGTTTATAATGATGAATTAATATACGGAGATGTTATTAAGCACGAAGTATCTCGACCGTTTCCTGCTGATATCATACAAACTATTGTTAAACATACGAGAAAACTTACAAACAATGATATACAACATTACAAGCAGTTCCCCAATTACTGTTGAGTGAACAGGAAGGAACAGTTAGGGCTCGGAGCCTAGTCGCCACCCGGCGCCTGAACCCGGCCTCGTGGCGGGAGACACAGGAACGGAAAGTTGCTGGTGTTTAAGTAAATATAAACGTCTGGCTTCTCTCAACACTTGAGCGTTATAATTCCATGAGCCTTGTGCAGTATTACTAAACATTTTGAATAACCTCTCATGAAATATGAATGGCGAGACCCAGCATAAGCAATCAGCTTATGTTTGTCCTTCATATAAATGCCAAGCCTTTATTTCTGTCTCGGGTCGTTATCTTAAAATGGTTAAAGTCCTAAATTTTACATTTCTCGATGCATAAATTTGCAGCCAACCCCCCTTCCCCCCTCCCCGCTACCCACATCCCCTCCCCAACACCCTCCCCACCTCCCCTCCACCACCCTCCCTACCTCCCACCTTCCATGGCGCGACAATAAAAATCTATTTACATACCTGCGAATTGGAGTGCTTTGTTCCCTCGGAGGATAAGCTTAATGCATCTTAATGAGCTGCAACATTTAAAGGAAGCAACATATGTTGAGTGTTATACTCAAGCGGACGAGGGGCATGGCCACGCTGGTATACTGCTAGTATCCAGAGTTTACTGACATAACAGAGGAATACTACTTATAAGCTTACAGTAATCCTACGACTAGGCTTACCAGGAAGGGAGGCGAGTGGGTTCTGAACCCAGATATTGGTAACTTTCACACACTGTAAATTAGAACTTTGTACACATATTAGGACGACTCCCAGAGGCTTCAACGTCAGTTTTTGGTCCGTACTTGGCGAATATATCTAAATAAATATTACTACTTTTATATGAAAAATAAATATTTGGTATTCAGAGTGAAGACGGAAAATACCACTTATAAGTAACTATGTAATAATCAGAAGACGGCAACAAGCTGGGAAGACGAGGACGAGGCATCATCACCACCAGCGGGCCCCTAAGCACAGCTCAAGCATCGATGTGGTCCTGTAGAGATTATGAAGCTAAATGTGTGTTGCAGGGCGAAGTAACGTCTGTCTACGCCAAGAGCTGCTCCATCAAGAAGGACGGGAAGTGTCAGGTGTGTAATATTTAGGTTAAACAGGTTGCTCGTAGGCGGGATCTAGCAGAGTAAAAAGCATGACAATAAAGGAAGACTATGTATCTATGTGTTCTATGGTTTCTTCTTGTTGTGAGCACCACCAGGAGCAGGAGAGTCCTTCATCCCATAACGGGCAGGGAGTCGTGTATGACCTATACATGACCCAGACGTGTATCCGGGTATCATGACGGGACCATGGACTCATCTGCACCGAGCTGCTAAACACCAAAAACGATGTGGAAGAAGTGCTGATAATCAAAATGTAAATTGTAAATGTGGTGAGAGTCCTTGTTTATAAATCACCAGATGCAAATTTTCAGTAGTTTAAAGACCAACTTATGAAAAGAGAATTCTGCTTAGAAAACCTCACAAACTGTGCCCCAAACATCATCTTGCATGGTGATTTCAACTTAAGGCATCTAAAATAGATCAATGTTGCAAGCACTATTATAGCAGAGAGAATCCCAGGAAACAGTCTGAATGAAATGTCCTATACAAGTGATCCTCTGCAGATGTGTGACAGATTTGTTTTAACCAACTGTTACCTAGCAGTAAATATTGTTTGGGTCAGCAGTGATTTGTTACCTAGCAGTAAATAGGTACCTGGGAGTTAGTCAGCTGTCACGGGCTGCTTCCTGGGGGTGGAGGCCTGGTCGAGGACCGGGCCGCGGGGACACTAAAGCCCCGAAATCATTTCAAGATAACCTCAAGAAGATAACCAGCAAATAGTAGAGCCAGCTAAGAAAAAAATACCCTAGACCTTTTTTTACAAACAACAAGGAACTGATTAGTGACATAATGATTATCAAGAAGTGTAAAACATCACTATCACAGGCCATAAACATCTTTTGGCAACAGAGCATAGATACTGTAGTCATCCCCAACATACTGGAAACAACGTAGATCGCGCCACTTCACAAAGGAGGTAGTAAAGTAAGTGCAAAAAAGATTATATGTCAGTAGTTCTAACTTCGCACATATATAAAAGTCTTTTAAAGTATTCTAAGAAGTAAGATTATAAATCACATGGAATTATTATATTCATTATTTTAAATTAAAATTAATCATACTCCACATAATGGGCACAGCTGGTCAGTCTCTCATAGTGTTCAAGAGAAAACTCGGTTGGAATAACGTTAGGCTGTGGTGTCCAACAGTCTGAGCAGATAACCAACCGGGAGGCCTGGTTGGAGACGGGGCCGCGGGGACGCTCATCCTCGGAACCTCCTCAAGGTGGGAGATTACCCAGAACGAAGGTTTGCCAACCATGATGTCTGAAGATATAGGCGTAATTCGGACTGCCAAAGAGCAGAACAGGGTTTCTTGACATGTGGCAGTCTTTCATCTCGATCCAGAAGGAGGGTTGCTAGAAATGTTTAGAAAAGTGCCTCAGCCGCCGCCTCATCTGTGATTTCATTCCCTCTGATTCCCACATGAAGCGAGACCCACTGTAGATAAAGATGCCTATCTGGTTTGTGGTAATATCTGAAGCACTCTGGATATTACTGATGAGTTGGCCGAAGCTTTTGGTCTGTGATAAGAGGCAAGGAGAGGAGAGGAGAGGAGCAGTCTAGGAGCCTACGAACACAATAAGATCTTAGGGGTGAATGATCTGTCATAAGAGCTGATAAATGGCATAGAGTTCTCCAGCTAGGGTAGAGTGACCAGTTCCCAGTTTGACAGAACTGATGGTGTGAATTATGTTGCGGCTGTGAGGTGAGGGGAGTGCGTGATCCATCCTTAGAGTCTTTGAAGTGTCCCAGATAACGTGACTGGCATAGTTCTAAGAATAATGTATGCGCTAAATTAAAGATATCCTCTTTAGTCGCCGGTGTCAACGGGAAGTTAGTGTCCATGCAGATAGCGCTCCACCCAAAGAGGGACAGGTGAGACTGTAGGGCAGGACATAACGTCCGGAGGAGATAGTTGTAGTGCTGCTAGTGCCACATAAACTCCGAGGAAGAAACTCAAGCGTTTTCGTCAGGCTTGTAAATTGTCTTTGGCAGCACCCCACGTTGTACCTCTCCACAGGCCAGGGAGAGGGAGGGAGGGAGGAACAAGTATCAATCGGAGGGTAAAGTTCATTAGCCTGCTTTTATCAGGGCTGATACTTAATGCCTTGGGTTGTCCAAGATATAAATTCGTTTATAGCCCTCTGCAGGCACGTTTGTGCTTCTGGCATGGGTCGAAGCTAAAAAAGACTACATCGTCAGCATAGACGAAAGAACGGGTCCCTTCAGGGGGGTTGGCAAGCGGACAAAGAGGAGCAGAATGATGTAACATTAACGACCAGGAGTTAGGCGGGTGCGACCGATACACAACCTAGCCACAACTTATAAATAACTTCAGTAATATATGGTTACATGAAAGCACCGATATCCGTGTGGAGACCGCAACTGCTAGTCGTCTCACCTCTCAGACATACAGACAAATTTCCTATGACGCGTCTTGTGCACAGCCAGGTTGAACTCGGGGTAACATGGAGAAGGGAACTGAGTTTAGGAAATATTAGGTCTCTGAGGATCAACAAACTAGACATAGGAGTTTAAACCGTTGAGACTGGCTACTTTAAGACATATGAGGAATTATAAGGAGAGAGAGAGCATTTCATCATTTACTTTTTGTCGCCGACTGGAAAACAAAATTCGACAAACTCTGCAGTAATTAAAGCTCAGACCTAAAAGGTTTGGGGACAGGAGGGCGGGAAAAAGAATCAGGTGAAAAATGAATGAAGACACCATTAATCTTTCCGACATTCTCTATTATTCCTGCACGGACACTATTTGATCAAGGACGCCTCGCCCATGCTTCCTTTACACTGTCCGCCTCTATACACCCAGACAAAAATTTAATATTTATTGAAGGGCAAGTTACTCCCTCACATATTGTGTTCGCCTTGCTTCAGAAGTTATATTTGGAAAGCAATATTGTCTAAGGTTGAGATGATGACGCAAGTTTATTTGTGTTACCACAATCTGTCACCTTAAGGAGTCTGCACGAAGGCAGTTTGGCACTCTAGGTCTTCCCCCTTATCTAGTACAGTCCCTTATCTAGTACAGTTAATCTGACCACGGTATTTTCTCCATCTTTTAAGAAAATTTATCTAGCAAAAAGTATAGGAAAACGCTATTAAAAATACAAAAATACAATTAACAATGATGTCTTCCTGGTTAATAAAGAGACGCTGACCACCACTTGTGGAAACTGGTGGACGTCTTTAAGGTCCTGCAACTGTTTTCACTATTGTCATCACAACGGTATCATCATCACCAGTGGCATCATCACCACCAGCGGCATCATCACCATCATTACTACCATCACATCACCACCATGGCCACTATTATTATAAGGAAGTAATGTCCTCAGCGCTGGTGTTCACAGACGACCTTTACTTGGACATGTTCCCCCCTTCCCCTATACCCATCATCCTGCATACTCTCCCATATTTTATACCCATTTAGTATTTCCGGACAAATTAGGGTGCGGACCGCCTTTGACCAGCATGGATTAGCAATCATTATCACATGAGTATACATTGTAAGTAGGCGGAGACTCGCCCTTTCATCTCCGTGCCCGGCCGCCAGATTAAGACGCTGATAGTGTATAATGACAGGACTCATATAGGTCATTAATGCTTCCCAAATATGTAATTCGTTGAAAGTTATTGCTGCTGACTCGGACTTGTAAACATCAAAGATTTGGCGCTATTTTTTTTGAGGCTCATAAAACACGTGATAGGAGGCAGTGGTGCAGGCAATCGATCCTAAAACCACACGTGTTTTTAATAACCTTCGCTATTTTATAGGAAGTGTGGGGCTGCGTTTGTATGTGTACTCGGTTATTGGCGAGTGCTCACTCAAATTGTTTTATTTGTGTGTATCGAATTTTGTTCTATTGTTGTATCGAATTTTGCCTCTTTGATTTCACATTTTCGTATGTAGAACATCTAATGCACGGAACCCTCGATTTATATATCTCTTTTCATATATTTTTATAAATTGTGGATAAAATTACCTTATACTCTCTCCTCTCTAGGTCATTCTATATTTCTACTATTATCATGCAGGTGCATTTTCTCACATTTCTATGGCTATTGCCTCCATCTTCCACCTTTGACCACTTTTGATTTCCTTATTCATTATAAGTATGAGCTCCTTTTCCAGCGGAAATAATTAACTCAATTATTTTGTCAGTATCATCTCTCTCTCTCTCTTTTTCTCTTTTTTTTCTCTCTCTCTCTCTCTCTTCTTTTTTTCTCTTCTCTCTCTCTTCTCTCTCTTTCTCTCTCTCTCTCTCTCTCTCTCTCTCTCTCTCTCTCTCTCTCTCTCTCTCTCTCTCTCTCTCTCTCTCTCTCTCTCTCTCTCTCTCTCTCTCTCTCTCTCTCTCTCTCTCTCTCTCTCTCTCTCTCTCTCTCTCTCTCTCTCTTTTATCTTTTCTAGTGTTGTTTGGACCAGTTTCCTCACCCTTCCCTCGTGCCCTTCTTGCCTATTTCAGGGATGAGCCTCGAGGAACTCTTTTGCATCCTCTCAAGTTTCCTGATAACTGTCTCGAAGTGGGTACTCCATGCCTCTAGTACTAGTTTCTTGTACTGGTAGGTAGCATACTGTGATCTGAATACCTCATTTTCAAAGTAACTAATGGGTGTCTTAATGTCCACAAGTGTTGCTGGTATGACCCTGTGTGCCAGGAAATATAGAAGCAGGGGTCTGTAGCTAAACAAGTACATTAACAGTGCAGATGGTGACAGTTTGATTAATAATGCTGCCAAAAGTATAATTATGTAAGCGTCTAGCTTAGGAAAAGTTGATAAAAAAGTAGTGTATGTAAAAAGAGAGTTAGAGGTTATATCATGTGTTTTAATGTGACGATGTTACCGCCATCTGTCGACCATACCTGACCCGTTTTCTGTGTTTCCTCGTGGAAGTCTGTAATCTCACTGAAACAGGTCTTCATAGTATATGATTTGGTTTCCTCAGAGA